TAACATCTTACTGGTGCAGCTAAAATACAAGAACAAAGCACTGAGAAACAAATCCTAGCTGCAGGCTGAGGGATGGGAGGTGAAGGTGCAGGAAAACAATAGAGGGGAAGAAAGCAACTTTTAGGTGCCTCACAGGTAACTTCATCACTTACATCCCAGCATCGGTTTGGTTAGCAAGAGGTCTTCAGCACAAAATTTTAACGCATAATCCCATGGTCAAGGGCTTTAATATAGCCTTGCTAATTCCAAACTAGTATTTTTGAAAATAAATCTTGATGATGGCAGCTGGGTATAATTTATAAAGGGTCCTCAGTTTTAATTAAGTGGAACAGAGCTTTGCTTTTATGATGACTGTTATGTAACTAAAAGCGAAAAAAATATATATTTCATTTAAAGGAGTGTCTCTCCAATTTTTATGGTCTCGTTAGATTTTATAGAGTAATTGTGGGATTGTCTCGTTCATGGAGATTTGTTTAAAATGCTTTGTGTCCATATGTTTAATCTCATCCATTAACGGAGTCTAGCAATTTTATCTTCAGGTGTTTTTACCCACCTAGAGAAAGTTTCCCCTTGTGGTTTTGCTCTAGGAATCACTATTTTTCAAAGAATCAAAAGAAAGAAAGAAAGAAAGGTTTATACATCAAAGGCTGTTCAGAAGAAAAACTTAAACTTCAGGCTTTTCAGACTTCAAATAAACATCTGTTGTGTTTTCCACAGCGTGCCACGCTGTGCGTTAATGAGTGTGATCTCTCTTGTGTTTGTAATTTCTGAAAGCATATCAAGAAGGCGGGAATGGCCTTAAATAAATCGAGTTGTCTTTCATGTTAGACCTCTGGGGAGATTCATCAGTAACACGCGACTGAAAGTTGACCCTAGGAGTTCCTACCTCCCCACTGGGCTGTCTGTCAGAACTTGCCATGCCCGGGCACCTGCATCCCGGTGGTGGGAAGGCAGCGCCAGCAGGATGGTCTGGCAGATGCCAGGGCATCACCTAGGGATTCTGGGGAAGAGGAGTTGAGCCAAGAGCACAACTTCAAAGAAGCAGCTCAGCCCTTCAGAACAGTACCCGTCAAAGAGTTATTTTAGGGAACCAATTTTACCGTGGCAACTGTGTCTAGTGTGGTTTTTTTCCTCCCCTTTTCCTTTATATATCACTCCCCATTACACACGGTTGTTAATGGCCCTAAAGATAGGAGGAAATGCACCCAAAGAATTCCTTGACAGATGGGATCCTGGGAAAACAGAAGAACCTTTGGCCAAATTTAGATTCCAGTTTAAAATATTTTTAAACATTCAAGTTTTCCTGGTTTTGACTGTAGTACATCTTCATTATGGAATGCGAGGGGCAGGGAGAAGATTTAAAAGAAAATAATAACCGTATAAAATCTCAGCAGCTCAAACCACATTTTCCATTCCATTACATTTTCTTAGAGGCTTTTTTTTTTTTTGGCCTATGCATGTATAGTAATCTTGTGATATTTTTAAGAACTCAAAACTGTAACTAAGCCTTTCCCACAGTATTGCAAACTGTTTGTAAACAATTCTTTCTGAGGTTGGCTGGTACACTCCAATACAGTGAAAATAAAACAGCTCAGCAGAAAGCTCTAAGTAGCTTTTCCTAGTGCTTTTACATTTTACGTTCAGGGCACCCATGAGTCGGGGGACCTGCAGGTGGAGAACGTGGTTGGTTCTCCTCTCTCTTCTTCCTGCATTTAAAGTGGAGACTCCGCTTCCACTTTGTTAGATGAGTGACTGGGGCTGTACCTTGTTGTAGAGCTTCTTGCTGGAGATGACAGCATTCACCTCCGCCACGTGCTCGTGGTATGGACGTCATCACCGGTCACAAGTCACATTGCATGGTGACGGCCTCAGCCACTGTATCCGTGATGCAGTCTTAGCTCACATTGGTGAGGATCTGGTCATACACATAATTTTTAATGACTGTTCTGTCACTCCAGGTTCTTGGTTGCAAACAACACTCTGGCTCATTCCATGAATTCATTTAAAACTTAAATGAATGTAAATATGTTGAAATCTTGGAGGGCATGACAGCCAGGCTTGAGGAATACACTTCTCAAATCATAGCACCAGAATGCTCCAGGAATTTAACTCTACTGCTGACTTTGGAGGTGGGACACTCACTACTAGACCCTCTGTCACTGCCCCCTCAGAGCTGGTGTCTCCCTGCAGGGGTCCACCACCGCAGCAGAATAGATTTTTCATAGACACCTCCTTCTTCTTACCACTCTATTGAATCCAAATGTTATAAGAGTGAGACTGACTGATGGAGCATACATCGTGTACCCATGCCCTGGCTACAAGGGAAAGTGGAAAAACACATTGGCCACTTCTAATTAGAAACCAATTTCACCGATACGGTTGGGAACTGCCCTGCCTGGTTTCAGAAGCTGTAACCTCCGCCAAGGCTAAGGCTGAGGGAGTGACTTTGGACCTTAAGCCAGCAAGGAGACAAAAGCTTATCTCCCTAGCAGGAGCACCACTTCTGCTCCTTTTACTTCATCCATAACTGGCCCCCAATGCTTGATCGGTTAGCCAATGACAGGTAAGATTCCCTAAGGGCGGAACAACCTAAGACAGGCACGGTCACATGGGAGGCTGCCAGGGAAGGACCTTGGGGGGCTACAGCAAAAGAGGGTGATGGACCCTCATCCCTCGGCTTTGACAAAGCCTGAGTCCTCATTCTGTCTGCAGGAAGTCTCCTAATCTCTTGGCTGCCTTACTTCCCCTGCCTGACTTGAGCCTGAAACAATGACAGAGGGTGGTGCAGCCCTCGGCTGGAAAGGGCAGGTTCCCTGGGGCAATCAGGCTTAAGAAAGAATATGTAAAATCCTGTAAAATTGGCTTTGTTTAGAATGCTCTCAATTAAATGATAAGGGTCCAAGCAAGAAGTGAGTTTGTTCCTCAAAGTTGTATAGCTCTTTAGCTATCTGACCCTGACTCAAAGTAGGCCCTCAGAGTTCTTTGTTATCTATTGTTAGATCCTTACTGCCTGACAATGATTAATGAGCTTTACCTGTATTCTTATGCAAATGAACCCAATAAAAGCCCATTGAGGAACAGGCTCCTGGCCCTTCTCCTTTGAGAGATTGGCCACCTTTCCTCCCCAAGCAGATCATGTCTTGGTAGACTTATTCTCAACTGTGGCAGGTGGGGGGCGGGGGGTGGGGGGGCCTGGGGGTGGGCCCTTCTGGAAGAGCCACCCCACACTATACACAAAGGATATTCATAACCTGCTAGGCAGAGAAAAAGTCTAACAAAGCCCAAAGCAACTGTGTAATGCTTTACTGTATAAAGTTCCACAATATAGCTAGTAATTTCCTTATTGTTGAAAACTTGGGCCATTTAAGAAAATATATTTTTAGTCATGTTTATCCAGGTATAATTTACATAGGACTAACATGCACCTTTTCTGTATACAGTTACATGAGTATTAACAAACACATATACAGGCCTGGAGCAAGCGCTATAATCAAGATATAGAACTGTAATCAAGCTATCAAGTCCCAGCTGGTGTGGCTCAGTGGATCAAGTGCCAGCCTCTGAACCAGAGGGTTGCCAGTTCGATTCCCAGTCAGGGCACATGCCTGCGTCATGGGCCAGGTCCCCAGTGGGGGGCGCTCGAGAGGCAACCACACATTAATGTTTCTCTCCCTCTCCTTCTCTTGCCTTTCCCCTCTCTCCACAAATAAATAAATAAAATCTTTAAAGAAAGATATAAACAATTCACCCCCAAAATTCCCTTACCTGCCACTTGGCAATCAATCCCTCCCATTACCCGTAACTGCAGGCAACCAATGATCTATTTTTAGCTTTATAGTTTTCCCTTTCCCAGCATGTCGTATAAAAGGAAGCATATCGGACACATCCCTTTTTGTCTGGCTTTTTTCACTCTAGTTATTCTGAGACTCGTCCATGTTACCACCGTGTATGTCAGTGGAGCAGTTCTTTTTATTGTTGAGTAGTAGTCTATTGTATGCATGTACCACAGTCTGTACATTCACCACCTAAAAGGACATACGAGTTGTTTTCTAGTTTTTGACAATTGTTGATACTGCAACTATAGAAGTGGCATACAAGTTTAGTTGACTCCTCTCAAGACCCCCATCCGCCTCATCCTAGCCACACCAAATAAACATATAATCTAAGAAAAACTATGCAGAAGCAGTTTCACATCAACCTGCTCACCCCCGATTCCAATCTGATCGTTGGCCCTCAACAGCAGTTGCGGAGGAGCTGCTCTGGGAAGGGTTCTCGCATACTGGGTGCTTGGTATGGCGGGAAGAGGCCGGTGGTGAGGTTTCCACCACACTCACTGTCCCGTCACCCCTGCCTTGATTTCTCCAGTGTCCCTTCCTCTGTAGTCTGAAGCTGTTGGTGCCATAGAACTAAGGCTGAGATTATAGACAATGTTTATGCCAGGAGAGGAAGCAGATGCCTCTTTTGGGCTCTCCCTGGCCATGTTCGCCCTGCAAATTTGAGTTTGCCGATGTCAGGCCCGTGTCCACCCTGTGTACCTGTTTACCCAGCACCCACTAGAGTGCCGGCATGTAATCAATCCGCCATCATTACTTTTGGGATGAAGTGAACTCGTGGAGGAATGAGCAACTGTTGACATTGGCGAGTAAGTATTGTCTTATTTACAATTAGAGACAGAACGAATGTGTCACTCAGTGTTACCCACTGAGAATAAATGTGTTTGCACAGCCGTTCAATTACGTCAAGAGTAATTGCCCATGGCTGTAGTTAGACATAATCTAATTCCTAGCGAAACAAGCGCACGCAGTTTCGAAGCGTAATTACATCTGACACGAAGGGACTTCCCTGTGGATTTCTTCCTGGTGACAGAAAATTAAAAGTTCCATAACTCGGAACAGAGACTCACCTTTTCATCACCGAGGGCTGCTCCTCCCAGCTCAGCTGACGACATTTGCTTAAGAGATGAAACGAGCCCCATTCCAAAGAAACAGGACATCTGGACGTCTCTTCAAGGGTGAACATTTTATTGGAATATAGGCACTTGGCAGAGTATATGCACGGTTACAAAGTGTTTTAAATTTATTTGCTTTACATAGTGACTAAAAAACATATCCATCCACGGTGTTGATTTTTTTTTCTTGAAGTTGCAGACCTCAGAAGGCAAATCCCCAAACCCGTTTGTTTACGGTGAAGAAGGTGTATGTAGCCAGCGCTTTACCGAATGGACTGTGTTTCTGTTTGAGTCAGGGGCACCCTCCCCTTCCCCATGTTAAAATTGCCATGTAGCATATATTACCTAGCACTTATTAGGAAGAAAGAAAGTCACCTGTCTGGGAGAATTGGGAAGCCCTTTGAAATCACTGGCTGCAGCCTGGAGGTTAGAAGACCAGACTTGAGGATCTTCTTAATCAAATGTAGAGGATCAGGCCTTCTGACCTGCAAGGTTTTCACACCCAGCCTCTTTAGAAAGCTTTTGGACAAACTGGAGTTTCACCCTTGTGGTCTCCAACATACTATTTTTTTTTTGGAAAGAGAATTTACTCTCCATAATGTAAGGCACTAGTCCAAGCTGCAAAGGAGAAGAGGACAAGTTAATTTCTTTAAGGAATGAAATTTGTTTGTTTGTTTGTTTAAGGAAAGAACCATATTATTTATTTGTGGAAGGTCAACAATGATATAACTCCTTCAAAGTCATGGGATTTTTGCCCGATAGCCCATCATGAGGTCTGCTGCCTTTCTAACAGACTTGCCCGCAGAGGAGAGCCCTGGGGCGGCCTGCAGAGGCCCGTCTGCGCTGCTCGCTGGAACCACAGCGACCTTGCTCCGACCTGGAAACCACTGCGGCACCACAGAGAAGTCCGTGTGAGAAGCAACAAACTCACGCTAATGTGAAGGTATTTCATGCAACGCGTTAAAATGAATAAGGAATATTTTTAATGCACTTTAGTTTCCTGTTCCATCTGCAAATGGGACAATCACCCTGCGTAGTCGAGTGAACTTGTCTTCTGTGGAACACGTACAGAAAGGTGCTTTGCATTCTCAAGCGTGTCCTCCCACTTCGTGCCCAGTCCCCTCGGGCCTGCAGGTCGGGCCAAGGAAGGGCACTGATGTCCATCCACCCAATGTAGTGAGATGCACCCCCTTTCAGGGTTGGAAAGAATCACCCCGCTTTCTGAGAGTTTGAGAAGCCCTGATGCGAGGAAAGGAAGAAAGCCGGGGAGCACCGGGGTGGTGGCAGCCTGGGCTGTGACCTCCTCCCTCGCCACAACTCTCCTGGAGGGAAGGACAGCCCTGGGCAGGGCTGGGCACTGTTCCTTTGGCTCCTTGCCTTGCTGGGCACAGAATCGGACCACGTGGCCATCTGGGCTTGATTTAGGGGACGACTGGGCAAGGGCAGGAAGCCCAACTGGAAAACATCTCCCTGGCTGACAGCAGGCTCCAAAGAGCCACAGCCCAGCGGAGCGGTGGGTGGTGGGTTCTCACATGTCCTGAGCAGCCGGGCACAGGCCAGTTCCTCGCTGGGCACTAGGGACGTTCATGTGACCCGAGGAGGCAGAGAGCCATTATTCAAGGCTGTGTGCTTCTCACAGGAAGCACATCTAAAGGCTAAACCCTCATTTCTGCCCTGGAAGAGAAGAGCCCCTGGAAGAGGCAGTAAGTAGAGAGAATTTCAGTGTTTCATGCTAAGTGCAAGGATATCAGCGGGTATTGGTGTCACAGGGACCAAGGGGGAGTGGCCTCTACCTTCTTCACCTGTCAGGAGATCCTTCCTCGGTGTGAGGAGGGAAGCACTGGGAACAGGAGATTATACATCATGATACTGATTATGCTACATCCTTGAAGACCTAGAAATCCATTTTGAATTCCTGCTTAAATGGCTGAACTGTGGGATAAATCCTCTAGAGAGCTGATACAAACTTCCTTGTTGATGATGATCGAACACAGCTCTTGGGCAATATATTGGGATCTATTAATAAAATTTGTGGAAAGAAAGATGAAGATATAGTGCTGGTTCTGAAGCTTTTAGGAAATAAACTAATATTTTTTCTTTTTTTTTAGATTTTATTTATTTTTAGAGAGAGGGGAAGGGAAAGAGAAAGAAAGGGAGAGAAACATTGATGTGTGAGAGACACATCAATCAGTCACCATTTGCTCGCCCCTTACTGGAGACCTGGTCCACAACCTGAGCATGTGACCTGACTGGGAATTGAACCTGCAACCTTTTGGTTTGCAGGCTGGCACTTAATCCACTGAGCCACACCAGGTAGGCAATAAACTGGTATTTTCTGAAGGACAATAGAATAGTTCTTCCTTTAATGTTTTGGAAGTCCATTCTACCTGTACCATTAACAGGCATAGGTCTCAATCGATGTGGAAGATGTATTTGTGTCTATTTCTGCTAAAGTGTCGGTTCTGGGAGAAAGGAACAGATCTTTTAAAGCACAGGGCTCCAGTGCCTGGGGCACAACAGACTCCATTAACCTGCTAACTGACTGAACAAGTGATCTCTGCCCTTGGTAACATCTTTGGAGCTTGATGCTATGGATATATCTTGGCTTTTCTCTCTCTTCTTCTCTCTCTCTTTTTTAATTCATTTTATTCATTTATTCACTTTATTTCCTTCTGGGAGTGAACCAGGACTGCTTCAATAGAAAGACAGACAGCTTTCCTGGCAGCGCAGAAAGCTCATCATTTGAAAACTGACATTTTCTTAAATTCTATTGAGCCTTTTAATTTATACTGAACAAAAGCACCTTATCTCTTTTTCTTCTTCTTTTTCCTTTTTCTTTTCTTTCTTTTTTTTTTTTTGGTATTATGCTTAACTCAGCATGAGGCAAAGAGTAGCTGTTTCAGTAACATTTGTTTAATTGGTAGGCTTCACACCCAATAATTTAGCTAAGCTCTCTCTGCACAGCCTAAGGCTAATTTGGAGCGCTTCAATGTGCGAGGGAAGTTTTCTTGCCTCGTTTGAATTTCCCCAGAAGGTGATTGATGACGAAGAGTCCACAAGATCCACTGCCAGGACGTGGAGAGCAGAGTTAGGAACAGGCCCGGGCAGTCCCGCAGACCACGGCCTGCCTGGGTTTCTGCTCAGCGCCCCCTGCCCTCACTCAGGCTCCGCGGGGGCTACCCCCACCCCCACCCCCACCCCTGGGCACTGCCGAGGGCCACCCTCGCTTTCGGGCAGCCAGACCAGCCAGACCAGCCAGACCGTGGACAACGACTGAGTCCTTAAGAGACAGTGAAGTGGGTGTAGTAGACGGGGGAGCTGGATTTACAGCCCGTGTTTGCATTCTTACGAAGAACTGAAAAGCCTTAAAGTGCATTAGAAGAAAATGTGCAGAGTGTACTGACCACAGTGCTCCTGCTGCTTTCTGAATCCCCAGTGCGACACCCGCTCCCACCCTCGGGCACCCTCAGCTCCCTCTAGCCCCAAGCACTGCGCCACCTTTGTAATTCTGATTAAAATGAGAAAGCAATAATTCACGGCGGAGCTGTTCCATTCCACAAAGGGTCTCCTCCGTGCTCACGCCCTCTGTGCATTCCATCTGATTTCAATACAAATTAAGGAAGTGCTTCACAAATTTTTGTTTGGTAACAACACATATGCAAACCCTAAATGTACCCGTGACTAACCCATTGAGGGTCAGTCTGTTCAAAGAAATGCTTCTGCCAAATCGTCCCTTTCACTCCTCTGCGGGGGGCTCTGGGGGACTCTCCCTCTCGTCCTCCTTCTGGGGACCTGGGATGTCGGTGTCGGGAGCATCCTTGACCACCCACTGACACTCGTGAACCCGGGCACCCTTGATCTCCTCTGCACCTGTGCTGGCAGCTGCCTGGGCCTTGCTGTCCTCCCCTCCCACCGCCTCCTCTTCCACAGAGCCCTGGCTCTCCCCAGGGCCGCCGGGCTCAGAACTTACAATGCAATCTCCTTGCGGCATGGCCATACCTCCTTCCTGGGCACCAGGACTGGAAGGCCTGCCTGGGGGCTCCCTCCCATTGGGCTCCTCTGCCTCTGCGTGCTTCTCTGTGGTGCCCGGGCCGCTGTCGCCCTGGCTGAGCTCTCTGCAGGCTGGCTGAACCTCTGCACAGCCTCCCAACTCCACCCCACCGGCCTCAGCCTCTGTAGTGGCAGGAGAAGGGGCCTCCCTCTCCCTGACTCCACCGTCCTCACAGGTGTCCTGGCTGGAGGCAGCTGTTTGATTGGCCTCTGGGCAGGTTGGGGTCGTTTCCTCTTCTTTTTCAACTTCTTGGGGCACAAGGGTCTCCTGAGGTGCATCTTTCTCCGTCTCAGGGGCCGCAGACTCCACTGGCACTTCGATGGTCACTGTCAACAAATCTCGGAGCTCCTTCACGGAGCCTGCGGCAGAGATGGATTCCCGCTTTTCCTGGGCGGGTTCTCCGTTCTCAGGGGTCCCTCCAAGCTCCAGCTCTGGCGGGTGCGTGCCTGGGGCTGCTGCCGCGTCCTCTGCAGCCACCAGAGTCACAACAGGGCCACCCATGCTTGCAGTGATCACCTGCCCGTCCCCACCTGGGAAAGAAAGGCTTTCTTCCTGGGCCGTCGGACTGGGGACCCCAGGCTGCTTTGCTTCCCCTGGTTCCTGGAATACTTCGTTGCTGGCGGCCTCGCTGTCGGCAGCTCCCAGCAGCAGGGCGGAGGTTCTCCTGGCGGGGCTGGCCTGGTTTGACCCCGCGGGGGTCTTCAGATCTGTGAGGCTGGACACGCTTTCACTGGGCAAGGCCACGTTGTCTTCAAATAAGTTGTGTTTCTTCAGGACAGCAGCTTCCTTTATCACTGGGGCACCAGAAAACAAAACAGGACGTTAGAGCTCCGCCCCGGTGGATTTGGCTTTTCTGGTTTTACCCAGAAGGCAGGCTCTCCTCTCAACTTCTCTGGCTATCCAAACGTCTCAAGTTCAAGTTCCAGCTTACACTCCCTCTCTTCCGGGTAGCCTGCCGTGAAGATGGAAGCCTGGAAACTCACACCCAATGCTGGACCTCCCCACTGTTCCTCCATTCGCTCTTCCACACATTCATGTACTCAAACAGCACACACTTCCCGGGCACTGACTACAGGGCAGGCTCTGGGAACCCGGAGACGAAGAAAATACAGCCTTTGCTGTCAGGGAGCTCGCAATCCAGGACGGCAGCACTTGGATTACTCCTACGGCCCCCATCGCCTTTTATTAGCGGCCGATCTGTGCGGCATCAGTTTGTAGCTGCCTTGCCTGAGACCCCTCGAGGGCAGGAGCTGGCCTGCTTTTCTCCGCTTTCCCCAAGTGCAGTTCTGAGCGTGTGACAGGTTCTCGGCCCTGAGCACCCAGAGACAGGAGCCCGGCTGACCATTGCACTGTCGCCATAGCCTCTTTGCTGTAGAGGCCTCTGCCGCAAGCAACTTTGCTGCGAGCGTTTTTTGCTGCATAACTAACGGGCTGTAAGGCTATTTTGTTCTAAAAAAGAGTAAATAGCTGGTTGACTGTGTTTTTTTTTTTTGTCTTTTGGTTTCATTTCTTCATTGGTGAATCAAGCACCATAAAAGATAATAAAATAACTGGTTGATAGTTTGTTTTTTTGCATTGGTTTATTTTTGTTTTTAGGGTTATTTATTTATTTTTAGTCAGGTTTGGTTTCATTTCTCCATTGACAAAGTAGTGGAGCAAATAAATCGTGGCCATCTTAAAATAGTTAGCATTTTTTTCCCAGATGATGATGATTTTTGCCCCAAGAGTTAGTTGGTTCCTTATTTTGAAACACTACATTAGGAAGAGAAGGAGAGGCGCCCAAGGGCCTCTGAGGGTGCAGAGTTGAACCCTCGTGCCCCATAGAACAAAGGCAAGGCCTTGGGTACACTCCCCAGGATAAAATCGGTTACTTGTGCAGTCAATTGCCGTCCATCGACACACATATTAAATGTATTCAAACATTTGCATTTGGCAATCAAGTCTTTTCACATTTTGTTGTTCAGTTTTCATGTCCCTCTTTTATTTGACATAATTTTATCTTTCTCATGCAAAAAAATTGCCTTTTGGCCAATTAGTTCTGGGCTGAAAATGTTTGTGGCAAAAATGCCTGCAGCAAAGATGCTCTGGCAAAAATGCCGGACACACCAAGATGGAGACCTATGTCCATCAGCTCAGCCTCGAGGCCTGGGGAGGAGGAACAGCGACACCAATAACGACAGCAGCAGACACTTCTGACAATGAGCCCCTGCTGATGGCCGTGCAGGCTGCACAGAGCGCAAGAGTGTCTCATCCCGGGGCAGGGGTTGGGGGCAGGCACCCTGGTCAGCAGAGGCAGCTCGGGTTCGAGCGCAGTCGCCTGCAGCAGCTGCAGAAGCGTGGCTGCTCTCACACGATCCGCACGTCGTGGCCATTTTTGGACGGAGAGCAGTCACGGGTCTGCAGGAAAGGAGTCTTTTTCTTTTTTTTTTTAATAAGGAATTATTTTATTGCTGTTGCTAGCATTTCCCTCTCTAGATTAGACAAATTCTTTTTTTTTAATTAAAATGTTATTTTTCAATTACAGTTTACATTCAGCCCTGGCCGGGTGGCTCAGTTGTTTGGAGCATCGTCCTGTACACCAGAAAAGGTTGCGGGTTCGATCCCCGGCCAGGGCACATATGGGAGACAACCGATCGATGTTTCTCTCAATTACAGTTTACATTCAGTATTATTCAGTGTTATTTTGCATTAGTTTCAGGTGCACAGGGTAGTGGTTAGACAATCATATATTTCACAAGGTGTTTCCCCCCAGTATTTCCACCACCCACCTGGCCTCGTACGTAGTCAAATTATTACAATATGTTTCCTATGTTCTACTACATCCTTGTGACTATTGTGTAACTTCTAATTTTTTAAAATTGAGTTTATTGGGGAGACATTGGTTAATAAAGTCATATAGGCTTCAGGTGAAGGAAGCTTTTTTCTAATTCTCCCCAGGTGCCGCGGTGGCCCGGCAGTGGCCTTGACTGAGCCCGTCCTCTGGGCAGACACTGTGCGGACACCTTTCCATCCCTTATCTCATTAGACCCCCAGCCATGAGCTGCTGGGACCCGGGGCTTGCGCTTGGCCAGTCTCCTTTGGGGCAGAGTTTTGGGATGCTCAACGCCTTCCCCATGGAGACCAGCTTCGTGTCAGGCCTACAGTATTGTGGGCTGCCCTCCCCATCTCTGCCCAAGCTTTCCTTGTCCACACCCGGTCCCGAGCAAGGCCTGCTTCCCCACGGGGAGCCCAAGCCCCAGCCAGCCTCCCAGTGCACGGTGTCACCGCCCCGGTCTCTCTTCCGTGCAGCTGAGAGGAGGCGAGGAATGTGCTGGGGGGGGCAGCTGCTCCGAGGTCACCTCCTCCCGCCTCCCGCTGCGGGCGGGGCTGTGGGCCTGTGACTAAGGGGAGCCCTTTGTCCTTTGTTCTGTCTGGAACAGCTGGAGGAAGACAGCTGGTCATGAGGCACCCTGCGTTTAATCTCTCCAAACCTCAGTCGTCTCATCTGAAAAATGAAGCTTAACACTCCATCCCACAGCGTCCTCATTTGTATGGAGAGAGAAAGGCTACCTAACGGTCCCAGTATAGCATGTGCGCAGTCAGGGTTAGTGTCCCTCCCGCCTCCCCCTTCCTTCTCTCCCACCTCCGCCTCCCCAGCAGCGCTGGCCCTGCCCCTTTCCTTTCTGCTGAGGAAATCGAGCTGGCCGCACTGGGTCCCATTTCTGGGGTGCTCCCCTCTATCCAGAGCTCCCCCCCAGCATCGGGTAAACCCCCCTCACCTTTCAGAGTTTCATCGAGGAGGATCTGGTGTAAAATCTCCTCGTACACGTTTTCCACGTGGATCATGTTGGTGTGATCTGCGAAGATGAACTGCTCGTATTTCTGAAGTTCCTGCAGAGCGAGGGACAGAGAGGACCCGGCATGAGATGCCAGCGTGTGGGGGAGGCACAGGAAGGACGAGTCCTGCTCCTGAGCCCCGGGACACCGCCCCTAACCCCGGGTGCACCCTACACGCACTTAAGGGGTAGACCAGAGATTTGATCACCTCAAGGGGTGTCAGTGAGTCTGGGACCCAGACTCTACCCCATCATAACCAAAGTATTTCCTTCTTCATTTTTCTAAGTGCCAACAGTGCTTACCGAGGTATATGTTACACACAATAAAATGCAAACATGAAAAGTACGGCTCAATGATTTTAAATACATAAATAACCTCATGAAACCCCAACGCAAATCAGGACAGAGGACATCACTTCTATGCCTGTTTCCTGTCCACGTCCCCCAGAGATAAGCACTGATTGGACATCTGTCACAGTGGCCTAGTTTCTCTTGTTCTTGAACTTCATGTAGGTGGAATTGGCTATTCCTTTGTGTTTGATTTCGAGAGTCATCCATGTTGCCACAGGTATCAGCGGCTTGTTCTTTGTTATTGATAAGACTTCCATCATATGGATCAACTAAAATTGTTAATCCACACTCCTATTGATGGATATTGAGATTTTTCTCCCCCTTTTGGACTGTGAAGAGCAGAGATGCTATGAGCATTCTCGTGCATGATTCCTGTAGATTTAAGGACTTTCTTGTCTTGAGTAGGTACCTGGAAATAGACTGCTGGGTCCTGGAGTGGATGTGTGTTTGACTTTATTAAACGTGGCCCCTTTTCGGGTGTAAGAATCTCTAGTCAAGGACTCTTCCGGAATTCAGGAATGTTCTCCTCTTTCCCTCCAGCTGGCCCTGGCGCTGGGTGCAAAGTCCTTTAACCCTTCCTGCTTCCCGCGGGTTCCCAAACGGCTTGCCTGTTATCAGCATGAGGATGGAGCAGGGACTGAGAAGCACCCAATCCCATCCCCCGAGTTTAACTCAGCAACCCTTGCACCCGAGGGTGCTGGAAACGGCGCCTGGCACACGCCTCCTAGACAGCCAGGGGCTGAGCAGCAGGATTTGATGCCTTTGGCCTGGAGTGACGGGGTTGACAACGGGGGTCAGAGGCCACCACTTCAGACAGCTCTCGGTGCCAGGGCTGGGGGCTCTGCCGCAGCCCGGGACCAGGTCACAGAGGGCTCTCATGGGGTCCCTTTATATATATATGCACTTTGGAGGGAAGACCTGTCTGAGCCCCTCTCCTCCTCTGGGAAGTGAGGGGCACAGGCTCATGTCTGCAGCACCCTTGCATGTTCCCGCCTGGTCTCCCGCCTGGTCTCCCGCCTGGTCTCTCATCCCGCATTCCCCCGACAGTCATTCACCCTCAGGACGGGGCAAAAGCAGGATTCTGGATGGCCCTCCCCGACCCCACCAGCCGAGCGAGGCAACCTCCTCGGAACTCCCACAGGAGGAACTGCCCCCATAAGGCTCCTGCTGAGCTCGTCACATGGCATCCTGTCCCCTGCCCGTTGGCTGTGAATGAGCTCCGGGGACAGACGGCAGGGCCATGGGCCGGGCCCAGGGCCTGGATGGCATCTGAGACATGTTTGATACACGTTTGCTGAATAAACAGGAGACCTTCAAAATTTCAACTAGCTGAACAATTCTGTGGAAAGAAATCATTTCTAGGGACATTTATACACTTGTCACATGGCCGGCTTCACAAAACAGACCTTCTAGATGACATAGATTCAACATTCCTATGTTGAATTCCCTGGGTCAATGAAGTTGAATCCCTGAGGGAGGATCTTGGGGAATCAGACTTTTTCCAAAGCTTCCTCGGCAATTCTAGCGTGCATCTCGAGTTCAGTGCCACAGGTCTAGGGAGCTGCGACTTGAAGAGCCAAGAAGAACCACACTTCAATAAAAGAAAGGATTCTCCTCCGAAGCTGGAACTCCCCTAATTTATCTGGTCTGTAAATCCAGATGTTTAAAAATCTCTTGACACTGATATCATGTCCTTCAGTGCAGGAAACTCCAGGTCACGGGCTCCTTAGAAACCAGTCTCTCTTGATTAAAAGTCACGAGAGCTCCTTTCGAGTTGGGTGCAGCTGTGCCGGTGTTTGGAACGAGGAGGGCAGGAGGACAGAGGGCTTTCTTCCCCCTCCCCCTCTTCTGGGAGGAGGAGGAGGAGGTCCCAAGGCCCTCAGGCTGCCTTTGGGATCGGAAGAGGAAAATGAGCTTAGCAGAGAGTCCGTGTGCCCACACGTCCCGAGGTGGACTGAGTCATCCTCTCAGTGGTTGAACTTTTCCAACCACGAAGGCCAAGGGCTGTCCATGTAGACAGATTGCTCTCCTGGCATCATCTGATCCCTTCCTATGAAGGAAATACACCCCCAGAAACAAACGCCGGGGGACGAGACATGCTGATGACACTTTGAAGAAAAACACCATTGATAGAATGTGAACATGACTGAAGACACTGCCCCACTGTCCCGGTACAATGACTCATGGGAAGGATTGTAAGCGTCCAATGCCTGGAGACTCTTTACGCTGCCAAAAAGCCCTTTTTAAATTCTACATGCTCCTTATCATTTGCTGTAAGAGCCCTGCACATGTCCAGGCTCACAGATCCTTTCTGAAATGCAGAAACAGTAAAAGCAGTGTTTACCACTCACTGCAAGCATCACATGCACCAGTGATGTGATCGGGGTGCAGACTCGGCCGGGGGCCAGCTCTGTGATCTTGGGCCCGCCACCTAAGCCCTCAGGGTTCCTCCTTACGACAATGAGGATATAAATAGAACCTCCCCATAGGGTTTCCTGAAAATCATTGAGTTAATCCAGGCACAGCGCTTAACACAGCGCCTGGCATGTGGTAAGCACTCATCGGATGCTAATTGCCTCCTTCTAGTCTTCTCCATCTTAACAAGGGTACTGCAAGGTATTACTATCTCCATTTTCTGGAAAGTGAAATCTAGACCAAAAGAGAGCAAAAAGTGGTTTGTCCAAAGCCCAAGAGCCGATAACTGTAGGAGCCAGGACTTGAACCCAGGTCTTGACCCAGCCTCCAGAGTCACCTCACTCATCACTCTGCAGACCAAGTCACACTTCGTAGTCATGGCTGTCACTGGTCGCCTGGGGTTTGTAACAGCTTTAAACGATTCATTTCATTGATTTCACCAAACAAATGTTACTGGATTTAACAGAACAAATCTCCTGTAATCAATCACGTTACTTAAGATCTTTTCCTGGACGTGGTGGTCAAGTTTCAGAGACCATGTAGGAATTATGAGTCAGACTTTAATGAGGAACATCTGGCATTCGCTGGTGCTCTGTGGCAACCCCTAGCTTGGCTCAAACTCACATGGTCACCCTCTGAGATTTCTGTCTGGTCCAGGGGTCGGCAAAGCTCACCAGCTGCTTGGTTTTGTAAATAAAGCTACGCTGAAACTCCGATCTGCCCATTTGGCTGTGCACAGTCTATGCCTGCTTCGGGGCTGCAACAACAGAACTGAGTAGTTGCATCAGAAATAGCATGGCCCATGAAGCCTAAAATATTTACTATTGGACCATTTACAGAAAAAGTTTGCCAACCCCTTCTACTGTTTGCAAGCACATCCTGGTCCCCCCTCACCCCCTGAAAAGTGCTTGGACTTCGCAGGCGATAAGAGCAGGCTCTCTGGAGTGACCCAGCCCTTACTGGTTTGCATGTGGACGCCAGGGCCTTCTGCACGGTGGGAAGTGTGATTTGAACCAGCGCCTCCTGAAATATCCTCTTCCGCATGGTGCTGCTGTCGTAATCGTATTGCTGTCAATACAGAGACAGAAAACATATGCTCAATAGCAACAGTGCAATCTGTTAACTTTCGCTTCAACAAAAATCTCAGCCACCTACTTCATCGCCTTTTCCCCTCTAATTTCTGAGTGCCCTATGGTGTCCCTGAGGTCTCGGAGATCTTTCTATGCGATTCTCTCCACTCTAGGTGGAGGTTATGACTGCTAATCACCCATCTGGCCCTCCCCTCTTACAGATACGGAAACTGAGACAAGATCAACACAGCAATTTCTGCATGATAAAGAAGCTGGGGGTGGAACTGGGGGGTGAATTTGTACTTTGTCCCCCCTGTTCTGGGTGGGTCCTGGGAGCCACAGTCATCTACTGCTTTCATTCTACATCCTAAAAGCAGGCTTTGTGGGCTGAAAGGATTTCTGTGAGGGAAGAGAGGCTCTGGCTCGTAGCTACACTGACACTGTGGCATGTTAATCAAAGGAGTTTCGCATCTAGAACAAGAAAGATGAGGATTCACTTTGTACCACATGGATCGTCCACACCGAGAGACTAGAGTGTGGTCTTCAGTGTCACGTTAAGGGGACCACAGGCACACCAAAGCACAGTCACAGGCACGTGAGCAGAATGGTCAGGCCCCATAAAGAGTGTTTGAAGAGATGAAGCCATTTATACCAGAGGTAGCAATTTGGGGCTAGATTAGAGCTGTGTTCCAACAACAGGAGGCTGCCACGTGGAAGAAGAACATTAACACAGAGGGTAGAACTAGACTGACGACCGCTGAGAACCTCGGCTTTAACATTAGGAAGCATGCACTTGCACTTGCCTGTGTACAGAGAAGAAATGGGCTGTCCTAAGAGGGAGAAAGTGTCCTGACACTGGGGGTGGTATTCACATCGATATCTTTTCTTCCTCAGTTTCAAGTTCATTATGAGTTGTGTTACCATGATATGTATTAATTTTAATTTCTCTTTTTAAAGACTTTATTTATAGATTTTTTTTAAGAGAGAGGGAAAGGGAGGAAAGAGGAACATCAATGTATGAGAGATGCATTGATTGGGTGCCTCTCATACGCCCCCTACTGGGGTCCTGGCCGACAACCCAGGCATGTGCCCTGACTGGGAATCGAACTGGCAACCGTTTGGTTCACAGGCTGGTGCTCAATCCATTGAGCCACACCAGCCAGGGCTGCTTTGCTTTTCAATAATTTGATTGCCAGAGTTTCCTGCTGTCTGTGAGACCTCAAGATCAGGTCTGAAACCCAGGGACCCCCTTCCTGGCTCTGTGGAACTTTATCTTCTGCTCCAAGCACTGTGTAGGGCAGTGATTTTCAATGCTCTTCACCTCGTGGCACACATAAACTAGCTACTAAGATTCTGTGCCACACAAAATAATATTGCATTTTTTTTTGCTGATCTATTCCATCAAAATAGGTATGATTTTGATTCATTCACACCAGACAGGAATTGTTGTGTTGGCTGTTGTCATTTTTAAATTTGATAATCTAAGAGGAAAGAGGACAGTGGCCCTGACTAAATAGTCAGGTTCTGCATGTTTTAAAAATTCTTGTGCCACGCTTTTTGAAAATCACTGGTTTAGGGGCAGGAAGAAGTAAAAAATCAGTGCATTAGGTTTAAGTATATTTTAAGCTCTAGTTCACCTTGACTAACCCACTGAGCTTACAGAAGTCATATTAGCTCTCAGAGAGTCAGTTTCCTCATATCTAAAATGGGGACATATTCTAATTATCTTGCAAGTTCCACTGAGGGTCAAATGAAACAGGATAAGCTTTTAAAAAGCTTTAAAAATATAGCATGTCTGTGCAAGCTCTTATTATTGAAACCATTTTTATAGATACTTAAACAGGAAGCCTATTAAAAATAAAACAATTTCACGTGGCAGGCATCTCTTCTTTTTTTCTTTTAAAAAATGTTTGGCATTTATCTTTTACTTGGAGTATATTTCCTTTGCCATGAGGTGCTGATTTTTTTTAACATATGTTGGCTAATTTAAATGTAAACTATTTGAAGAAATAGGCTGTGCCTGGTCTATTTTTATATTCCATGCAATACCAATCGCACTGCTTTGCTTGTAGTGGCCAGCCAATACATACCAAGGGCAAGTGCTTTAAATTAAACGGGGACATGTCACTTCAGGTGATGGGCAAGGATGCTGAGGACCTGTGGTCCCTAAAAAAGCCACTAGATGGCAGAAGAGGCCTGAGAGTCGTGCTGGGGAAACACACCTGCTAGTCACAGGAACCTCAGGGAGGACAGATGGGAAAGATGAGAAAGAAAAGGGGGCACGTGAAAGACCTCGGTATTTCCCCCTTAAAAAGAAACAGCAGTCCTGTTCTTTTATTTTCCTTCTGTGTTACTGAATACATTGGGGTGATATTGGCTAATAAAATTATGTAGGTTTCAGGCGTACAACTCTATGATACATCACCTGCATATGGTACTGTGTGCTCACCACCCCAAGTGAAGTGTCCTTCCATCACCATTTGTCCCCCTTTACCCCTTCTACCTCCCCCTGGGGTCACATCCTTGTTTTATGCTTCCCACAAGTGAAAAAACGGTTTTACCTTTAAGACTCGGAGCTTCACCTTCTCCATGGCAACTGCTGTCTTGGAGGCCTCTGCCCCGAGATGTGGGGAGAGCAGCTGTGCGAAGGTGAACACCGCATTCCCCATGAGCTGCAGGCCAACGCGACACAGAAACAGCACAGTCAGGGAGGGGGCGCTGCCCTGGTCCAGTCCGTCTAGGACGGCGGCACAGAAGGGGGGCCCGAGCATCCGAGAGGAGTCCCCTCAGGCACTGCTCTGAGAGTGACCCAGGGCGACAGGTCCTCATCCCACTGCCTGAGCTGTGACTCACCGTGGGGTCAGTAAGAGACCAGGAATGCACATATATGTGTGCATGCATATGTATGCATGTATACCTATGTGCATCCTATGCATCCTTTCTTTGCATGTCTCCTCCTTCCACTCTGCACTGGAAAACCCCAGACCATGGGATTGAAAACACCATCGTCTCCTGTGGTCATCCCTTCCCTCCACCCTCTGGTACCCGCATCCAGGGCTTAACGAGATGAGGTGGGAGTCATCTCCAATTATTTCTGGCTGCCTTAATTCTGCACACACACTTTCAGGTGGAGGTAAACCACCCAGCGCGTCTCTCTGTCCCCCTCCTACCCACCCGCTCACAACTCTGCCAGGTTGGAAAGGGGCAGGGGCGGGGCTCGGGGCAAATGTGCTCAGATTTCTCACTCTCTGCCCTTGCACCTGTGTAAGCTTCGCCAGCATTCGGTGTTCTCACAGGGACTCTGTGAAATGGCTGCCCGGTGTGGTTCCTCGTCCCTCTTTAATCCCCACAACTCAGAGAGTAAGATGGGTCAGATAGTAAGATGGGTCACTTAATCCTGCCTATAACATTTAAGAAAAAGAATGTGCCTTTCTTTCCCAAGCCTGTGATTCCAACACACACCCTCCTTGCCACATTCTCAACTCCGGGGTGAATTTATCTGAGAGCCTGCCTCCCTCTCAGCTCCCTGAAGAGGGAGCGGCACAGGGTCCAGCCTCCCAGTGGGCTCCCCTGGGGAATCTGTGAGACGGGACCGCACTCTCACAGCTGCAGCGAGCACACCCTGTCTGCACGTGTACACCGCCAGACTACGGGGAAGTCCGGGCTGTGCACTCCTGCCCCTCTCGGGGGAAAGGAACCTACCAGGTAAACGCAAGAAATCCAATCGTAAAGCGGGGACTGAGGGCCCGATTCCTTCTAACCTGGATCGGGGAACTAATTGTAGCCAGTGGGCCTCAGTCCTGGACACGTATTAGAAGCCGTGGGAACGAGTAGGAAAATTTTTTAACTTATTAAAATATAATATTTTTAAATTATTAAATCACTTAAAACCTCATTTTAAACTATTAAAATTTTAAAAATGATTGAATTATAGATATATAATTTCAATAACTAAAAAATCATTTCAAAAAATATATGTGTGTAATCAGAATCACTGGAGGAGGGGCCTAGTATTTCTTAAAAGCCCCCACACGATTCTCATGTGCACCTGCGGTTCAATGAAGCAGTTATTAATTAATGTCACTTTATTTCCTGGAGATGTCCCTACTGTAGGTCATTCATCAGTACGGAGGGAAGATGAAGCCTGCTGGGAGGACGGATATGACGACAGAGGTGATGGCCGCACACCTGAGCGACCCGGCCCGCGGGTCCCATCCGCCAGCGCCTGCTTTCCCCGCCCCCACCCAGCTGCGTCCTCAGCCCCAGGACGCCCCTGTGGCACCCACCTCTTGCATGCAGTTCTGTGTCTGCTGCACCACGAGGTCGACGTGGGGGAACCTGAAGCGGCTCTTGAGGTCCTGCAAGCGCTCCTGAAGCTGGTTGACTTGGACGTAACAAGGTTCCATCTTCACGGAATCCAGCGGGAGGTTCATAAGCTGGTCCAGATGCTGCGTTTGGGGGAGGAGAAAAGTGAAACACCATCGGACTCAGGAGCAATGTTACTCACATATTACATACTCCATAAATTCTCAACAATCCAACGGGTGTTATTAGCATGAATCACTTCCCAATCGCTACATCTGTGATTTCTTCAGTTGTCTTCCTCCCTGCAGTGGGTCCCCAGGTCAGCCCTGCTGCTCCGACAGAGACCGGGAGAAGAATCAGGGGGATGATGGGAAGACCCAGGGAGGCATCCAGGGCTCCAGTCTTCATGCGCTCTTGATGGACTGCCTCCCGGCTCCCACTTCCAGAACTCAAGAGCTCGGCAGGTAGGTCCTTTGGCACATGGGATGTTACCGGGCCCATGAGCTCCCACAGCTTTTATAAAGGAGTGCCGTCCCTCTCAGAAAATCCCAGCGGGGTCAGGGTGACCCCGGACTCCTGGATGTGAGGTCAGGGTGATCCCTGACTCCTGGATGTGAGGCCAGAGTCCTCAGAGTTTCCCAAGGCTCTGTCAGGGTGCACAGGACTTCCCTCTGCTGCAGGCTGTCTATGGCACCAGCGGACAGGACGCAGGAGTAGGAAGGGGCCTGGTCAGGGAGAGGTACCCAGTTTCAAAAACCCGGGTCCCTGCTTCTCTAGTTTGCACAAGTGCAGACTTGACCACGGAGGCTTCCAGCAAGGGGCCAGCAACACACCTCATCTCCCAGTGATTTCAGGGGGCGCTGACACACTCAGACACTATGAGTACTGTCGCCAACAGCATGCATTTTACTGCCCACGCTTATTCTACAATAATGCTAAAACCGAGTATGGGAGAGCAGGAATACACGAGAGAGCAGGTGCAGACAGACAGGAAGACAGGGGGTGAAAACGGAGGCCGGGGAGGGCCGTAGAGTACAGGGGCCAGTGTGCGTTACACAGGATGTGCTGTCGTGTTTTCAGGGTGCAGAGCAGAGGTCGGTCCGCATTCCCAGACTGCTCTGAGCAGAAATTTAAAGGGGGCTCGTCCTCACTGTGTTTGTAATGGGAAAGTATCACTCCCTTTAAGAAGTGCTCAATAGACAGGCCCACTAACGTGGAATTAATGATGCTTGAACTTGCCCCTCGTCACAACACATGTCATGTGACCATTTTAAAGAAACACCAATTAAGCAGACAAGAGAGGAAAAATGGGTTGTGACTTTGCTCCTGGCAGATTGGTGAAAGTTTAAACCACTGATAAGACTTATTTCTAATGGGAATATGGACCTGGGCAGTGGGGGTGTCTTCCGCCATACACAGTTGGTGGAAATGTGGATTTTAAATCCCTTTTGTGGAATGCAAATGGGAATATTAACATGAGGGATGAACCTACCTTTCAGCCTACCAAGCCTGTCCTACGAATCTATCCTGTAGAAACGGAAGCATCGGGTGTGAGAATGTATGTTATGAGGTTATCTGTCACAGCTTTGTTCTATGGTGGCGACATTAGGGCAGTTGAATGAATCAGACATGCAATGTTACGCAGCCATTACAATGCACGATTTGGAGCTAGAACGGTCAACTCGGACACAGTTCCATGGGGCACTTTCAAGTGAGAATACTGACAAGCACAGTAGTCTAGGTAATGTAATCCCGTTCTGCTAAAACCAGGCAATCTAAAATAGCCCGTGGATGTGTGTGTGTTACAGGCTCTATAAGCATGGGGCGTTGCCGGGTGGCACAGGCCGAGGTGTGGACACTGATTACTTGAGGGGAGGTGGATGGCCTGTGGGGCAGAGCGAAAGTAAAGGCACGTTTATAAAGAAGGCTGCAGTAAGAAACCTCAGTGTAGATACAGATGATCTCGCTGATGACAGTGCCGTGTGTGGGTATGCACAGAGAAGTACAAAAGGAAAAGGAACAGGCGCATCTGGTCCTATCCACTGACCGGTAGGAATGCCCATCCTGTGTCAAGTGTAAAACCCAGTCGGCAAGTTGTGTCCATCAGGGATCCGCACACTTCAGGGTGCATCGAACCCTCTGGAAGTCTTGTTAAGAACGCTCGGCTGGGCCCACCCCCAGAGCTTCTGATTCGGTAGATCTTTGGGGGCGGGGCTAAGAATTTGCATGATTAACAGCCGGATGTTGATGCAGCTGCTGGTCTAACGACCACACTTTGAGAAACATTGGTTCGTATCATGAGTCTATATTTTCAGAAACAAACCAACAAACAAAATGTATATAAATGAGGCTATAGGCTTGTATATTTGTGTGAACGAGGAGAAAGTACGTGAAAACACATTTTAAGCTGCTTATGTTAGTTAATTCAGGGAGTCGGGAGGCGAGGTGGCCTAGGAGTTGGAGGTGGACAAGGGTCTGGTGGGTTCGGGTGATTCATTTTGCATATATATATATGCATGTGATTATTTTTGCAACTTAAAACTATTAATAAGTGAAGGGGGTAGATGGATGGATGAGCAAGTTGTGGGGTGAATGGGAGGCAGACTCCATGAATGGATGGAAGGCAGATGCACGAAGGGAGCAAGGGAGGGGTAGTAGGGGGGTGGAGGGAAGGAAAGCGGAGATGAATGCAGACACAGCCCACGGAAAAGGCAGCCCCGGGCAGACCATTCACACAGAGCTCCCTGGCTTCACATCCCACCTCCTTTAGCTGGGCACCGTCTTTGCTGGTCTGAAAGTTCTGGCTCAGTTCATCCACTTCTTTCTCAAAGAGCGAGCGTACTTCACTGAATCCCGAGCTCACGGGCCCCATGAGCTCCTCCAGAATGGACGCCAGGAACGGCTGCACGCTCTCGGCACAGCTCTTCTCTGCGGGCTGGGCCGCCATCGCTGCGGGAGGGAAGAGCGGGAAAACCGTGACTTAGGGCAAGATCGGACTCCAGGGCGCTGGGGCCAGGCCAGAGCGGGCTGGTCGCCCTACAGCGCCACTGAACGGCGAGCTCAAACGGCACTGAGGACCAGCACAGGGAGGTCCGCACTGGCATTCGCTGGGAAAGAAAACCACGAGGTGCCTTGAAAACGGAAACAAACAGAATCTCTCCACTCCCCCAGCTCTCTGCTGGGGCGAAATGCATTTCCCTGCTTGGCCCGATAAACACGCCATGCCTAATGCAAAAAAGAAAATGCCAGCGCCCCATCACTCATTGTCATTGTACACGCAGAGTTTGTCTCCTAAAAACACAATTCATTAAGTTTTTCTAAACTGAGGTATAATTGACACAGAGCATTATACTAGTTTCAGGTGCCTAAAATAATGATTAATCATTTGTATCCAACAATTTATTACGTCTTAATTCATTTCTCTAACAATCAATCAATACAATTCAATTCCCCTCTCCCTTCCTCAAGAGACTTTTTAAAACTCAAGTACAGTCTTCTCTTGGGCAAATGGAAAACAAATTCCTCTCAGTCTGTCACCCCACCTCCCACGTCCACCCCCAGTGTTTAAAAAACACTATTTTTGGTTCTGGTAATCGAGGACAGCATGAGCAGGGACAAAAAATGGGAAGAGCCCCAAAAATCAGAACGAGGGATGGAAATAAATGTAACCACACCCCCTCTTCCCAGAGGCAAAACCGCCCTTTGCTCAGAAGAGGAAGAGCACAGCAAAGACTCTGCCTCAGGAAGCCAAGCAAGGACATGGCAACATGTGTTGTTATTGTTTTTTGTCATTGTTGTTCAGTGCTAAGGTGATTCTGCGACTGGCCGGGTTTGGAAGCAGCGATCCCACGAAGGAAGCCTGAGGCTGGGCTGGGGGGCTGGCTTGGAGGAGCTACGAAAGTCACGTGGACTAGTCAGAGCAGCGCCGAACTGAAAAGGGGGTTCACACTGATCTGGCTGTCCCATCCTCCATTGTACAGATGGGAACACAGAGGCCCGGAGATGTTCGATGGCTGGGCCCAGGCCACATCCTAGTGCGCAGGAACGGAACTACACTTCTTAAGTTTTCACTGGTGAATAACTCGCCTACGGCGAGATGAATGGTCACATCCTTATGTCAACTCACAGATATATTTCACAGAGTGATAGAGGATCATACTGCCTTGTATTCTGACAACTGAAGATGATCAATACTATTAATATTATGTTTAGCTCATAAATATTTGGGATATGGAATATTAAGCAAGTCATAGAATTATTAGGGAAAAAAGGCCTTCAGTTGCATGATTCAAATAAGAAGCCATCTATGAGTTCTAAAAATGGCTTGCTTGCTACCCAAATACAACATTTTTTTTTGCCAGGAGAATAATGAATTATTTTTACCAGTTAACTTTGAGAGAAGACCTATTTGAAAAGCATCTCATTGGAATTTCAGCATGATCATGAACCTGGGTCGTAGGCCGTGACTATTCATTCAGTGCAAGAAGCGCTCCAATGGGGGAGGTGCAGGTGGCATCAGAATACAGAGGCACCACCCAAGGCAAGAAGCAAAGCTTCCTCCAGCTGGTTTCACTGAAGCTGCCATGGGAGGGCCAGCCCTCAAGAGCTCCGGGCAAGCTCCTGTTACCGCTGTTACCACTTCTTCCCCATTCCCTCGGCTCAGTTCTCCTCTGAAACCAGGAATTCTAGCTATGTGATGCAGCCCTGAGTGAAGAGCTTGTTTTGTTAGCAGAACATGAATTATTGCCACTAACCTTTGATCTTCCCAGTCAGAAAGTTCTTTGAGTTCACGATCTGATCCATGTCGGAGCGGATGGTTCCTTCCAGGCCCTTCGTCAGGGCTCTGCATTCCTCCTTCAAGGCGCTGAGTCCCTCTGAAACCTGCTGCCGGACCAGGTTGTAGGCCTCCTCCAGGAGCTGCAACAGGGACCCACACGTAAATCGGGGCTCCGTCGCGTGTAAGACCCCGACGGGGTCGCGTGCGGGAAGGAGGATTAATCCCGGGTAATTGTAATTTAAACAAAACTGCACACACCTTCTGATTTTTCTTTCAAAGTCAGAGCCTGTTTGGATTAGTCCTTATTTAGGTAAGATTGAGCAAACTCAAGATAGTCTGCTCTGTACCAGGGAAGGGATTCATTTTTTTAAAAAGGTTACCCTGAAAGGAGAAGGGAAAGGGCGCTTATTCTGAGTAGCACAGATGCAGGGCAGAGCCATCACTTACGCCGAGCCAGGCCCTCTTCCTGTCATTCTTCTTCCCCTTCATCTTAGGCAGAAGGTCTGTCTGAAGGGTTGGCAGCAGCTCCTCCATCACCAGGTGGCTCAGGATCTGCAGAGCGGAAGAGGAAGAAAGCCCCCAAGTCTGTTAGTTGGTGACAGCGAAATCCAAGCATCACAGCGACTGACGACATCTAGCTGTGCCCACCCTGGCCACAGAAGACTGTCCTTAGCCACGTGAAACGTGCTAGGTCAGTAGTTTTCCTCCGGGCCCCAGGCCACGGAAACCTCAACTAAGACAACCCTAGGGGCTAAACATTCCTCAACATCCACAAGCAGCAATAACATCTGCTAATGTTTTCCCATCAGAAAGGACACAGTCCTCAAATTCAAACTTCTCATGTGTAAATTAGAAGAAGCTAGTGCATTTAGGAAAAGAGGGAAAACGTCAGTTCTGGTGGAGGGCATCCTTAGCCAAATGGTAAAGGGGGCAGGCGTGGTTATGGTGCCTTGAGTCCTGTTCTGCGGCTGCAGAGACCACTGTTCCCTTGGGATCTGAGTGTCTTCACGTCTTTGATGTGACCGCCCCCTGAACCCCACCTCCATTCTCTTGAAAGTTCAGAAAAAGTAGGAGTTAACAGATGCTTTGAAATAACTAGATCTTGTGGGGCAGGCAGAATATACGTGGGGGAGGTCTAAAGCGTTCAGGGTGATTTTTAAAATTGATCCTAAGTCTCTCCTAAAATTTTGCTTGGTTCAATGAAAGTGTTTCTGCTGAATCAGCAGTATTCCACACGTCCCCAGATAACACTCCCAGTTACCCTGGCCCTTCCTTCTTCACCCCACCTGCACCCCAACTGGAGCAGTCTTCTTGTTCAAAGTCACTTTGCCATGAGTGTTTCAGGGCTCACAGCTCAGCTTTCAAGGTCAGGCCATAGACCAAGACTTACAAAAAATGAGTGTCATTTGGGGGAATGGAGGCAGGCACAACACTACAGGATCATTTGACATCTGCTCCATGCCCTTACAAAAATATTTGTGCACAATAATCGACCTCATAGAAATTCAAATGAAACTGGGGGAATTAAGAAAGATTTGCTCTGAGGTCATCAGTCAGCCACCTGCTAGTGGAAATACCCATGAACTCATTAGATGTGGCCTTTCTTCAGGGTCTGCCATGGCGGGGTGTAACGCTAGAGCTGAACTGAAGAGGAACACTCCCGTGTGGAGGTGGGCAAGCCATCCAGCCCTCCCTGTGCCTGTGGGGTCCTGGGAGAGACAGCTGCTCGGGTCAATGCAGCAAGCTGGGGGGCCTGTCCTCTGTGATGTGGAACTCTGTGGTGTGACAGGGTAAAAGGGAGACATGATTTCCACTGGTCCTGGTAGTGCATTGGTGGGGATGCTTCTGACTCTCATAACCATTTCCTGGGGGGAGGCAAAAGGTGAACCAGCATTATGAGGAACTTAAGAACTTGGCGTGCAAATTCCATGGAAATCAGGAGGTCCGACAAGTAGACTGAAGTGGGTAATTAATAATCCTGGGCCCCCACCCGGCTCAATGCAGTCCATTCTCCTTTGGAACACGCCTGCCCAAGAGGGATGAGAGTGTGGTGTGGGGAGAGCGAGCTCGGAGCATACGGAGACTGAAACCAGAACTTAAAACCAGTGGGAAATATTGCCTCACTTGAAAAGCATGAAATTCAAGATAATTGCCCTAGTAATATTAATTACGCTAATTCATCCATTTGCAGAGAGATTGGTTGGACTCTGAGCCTAAGCATGAAATGGGTTTGAAAAGACGAAAATGTTACAAAGGCCAAAGAAAGTAAGTATTCCATTTGGGTGGGCTGATGGTTTTCTTTGAGTGTTTCCCATGCAATGTTCCAACCGATTTTGTTCTATTTTTATAACTGAAGCGATTGAAAAGGAAACATATCTTCTAGGAACAAAAGGAGTGGATGAGACTGGGCTGCAAGGACGGGGCTGAGGATCAGCCACAGGGCGGGGCAGCGTGTGGCTTCCTCCAACCCTGAAACCTAGGGACGAGGACTAAAAAATGGGGTCGTTTTCTTGGACTGAGGCCCCCTACTCTGTGGGGGTGCTGCTCTCTCGGCCCAGGGGGTTAATTTAAAGGCAAATAACAAATAACTAGATCATCACATTTTGCAAAGTGCTTTCCAATGACACATTTATATTCATAAGTAGAAAAAAATATATATATATATTTTAAAGATTTTATTTATTTAGTTTTAGAGAGAGGGGAAAGGAGGGAGAAAGAGAGGGAGAGAAACATCAATGTGTGGTTGCCTTTCGAACGCCCCCTACTGGGGGACCTGACCTGCAACCCAGGCATGTGCCTTAACTTGGAATTGAACCAGCGATCTTGGTTCACAGGCCAGTGCTCAATCCACTGAGCCACACCAGCTGGGGCAAAAAATATATTTACTGGTGTACAAATACAGTCGTCCCTCCTTATCTGTGAGGAATGCCTTCCAAGACCCCAGGGGATGCCCCAAACCGCAGATGATATATATGCACATCTGTGGTAAGCAAGTAATAAAATGGAACAATCATAATAGTGTACTGTAATAAAAGTTTATGTGAATGTGGTCTCTCTCTTTCTCTCTCTCTCTGGAAGCTGACCTGACAACCAAGACAGCTACTTCATGACTGATGGGGGACACAGTGGGGACCCGGTGGGGATACACACAGTGGGGACACACACAGTGGGGACACAGTGGGCGAAAGGAGGATTCACGTCCCAGGCAGAATGCAGCGGGACTGTGTGAGAGATTTCATCACGCTGCTCAGATTGGTGCGCCATTCAAAACGTATGCATTGTTTATTTCTGGAATTTTCCACTCAGTATTTTCAGACCATGGTTGACCACAGGTGACTGAAACTGTGGAAAGCAAAGCTACAGATAAGGGGGAACTATTGTGTTTTCACCCGTACGGATATTTTGTATTAACAGTCTGTCAGGCAAGTCAGTCTAGGACCTTTGCTTTGCCTGGACGTGTGCCTGAAATCTCCATGGCCACGAGGGCCTGCCATACTTGCTGCGTGAGTCACGACTAAGAAGATAATAAAGTAACAATGACGAAAATCGAAATACTGGCCCCTCGGGTTAGAGGAGTTAGGACAGCTTTATGATTAAGTTCTTAGCAGAAACGGTGCAAATAAGAGAGCAGTGCTTTAAACAAAAGATGTCATATTCTTACACCAGTAACGCCATGCCACATTCTTTAACTTCTTGGCAGCCACTCAGGGCCCCTCGCCTCTTTTCTGTGTGTGAGTCGGGGACAGACATGCTTCAGCTCTGTGTGTACGAGGTTGCGGGGAAGCTCCCCCTCCCCAGGCCCCACCCGGGGAGAGTTCTGGAAGCCACTTCCTTCCACCGGTTTCTCCAAGGATGGCCTGACATGGCTCAGAACGCATTTCCATCACAGGCTGGCTTTGCGATTTCAACGTCAGCCAACTAACTTCTCCGAAGGTTCTTTCTCTCCCCCAAGGACGCTGGGCAAATGGTCCTGAAAGGCCACCCCCATACCCACCGCCCACATTTTAGGAATCTATGATTTCACCAAAGATACTCAGGCTCCAGGAGGAGCAGAACTTCTTGGGCAACTTGCTAACTCCAGCTTCACTGATCTCTGGTGTGTGTTTTGCTTTCCCAGGTCGGGTCATGTGACACTGCCAAACTAGCACCTTCCCACACTCGCTTTGCACTAAAGCTCTGAGAGGTCCGCATGTGCACAGGCCCAGTGTGCACCCACATGCACTTCTGACGCTGCCTTGTTCTCTGGATGCTTCTAGGCAGGCCTTGCTGCACCGAGGGCACGGGATGAGCCATTTAGTTCTCTCGCACCTCAGAGCACCTCATGCACGTCAGCCCAAAGCAGAGCGCAGAAAGTCAACAAAAGCAAACACAGCCGACTCAATACTCAACCCCCGGGAAGGACCGACTAAGCGCCGGCTGTCAATGGCAAGGTGAAGGAATGGGAGCTGACATGCGATGTGAAATGGAGGGGAAAAATGAAACAAGTGGCGCAGCCGGACTCAAGGACCTGAAGAGTCATGTAACCCAGTGCATCCCCACGGCTGGTGTGGAGCTTCCATGGGAGTAGGAGTCAGAAGCTCTCATTTCCTTTGCCATTTGTCCCTTTAGTATGGGGCCCTGAAATGATCAGCTCCCCAGCACAGGGACCCATGTGCCCTGCCTGCCTCTGGGTCACTGGCCCCCCACAGACAGCCTGGAGTAGGGTGGCTCAGTAAACAGTCATCAGATGAAGGAAACTGGGGAAGTTGCTTAACACCTCGATGCCTGCCTCAATTTTCTCGTTTGCCAAATGGGAATAACAATAACTGCTCTACCCACCTCATGAGATCGATGGGTAAGATGAACAGACAGAATTAGGATATGAACATTAAACAGTATAGCACAGACGCAATTCTGGCAAATCTACCACATACGTTTGTCCTATGACAGAACACTCAGGGTCGAAACACTTCAGCCTTCCCTTATCCTTTTGTTTGCTTTTTGGCATAAGTACGGTTAGCCATTAGTCCTCTCAGATTAATAAATTGAGGTGTTTCCCCAAAATATCAGAAACTGAGAATTGGTTAAAGTTCTTGCCTTGTCTAGTGTGGCTCAGTGGGTTGAGCTCCAGCCTGTGAACCAAAGAATCACTGGTTCGATTCCCAGTCAGGGCACGTGCTTGGGTTGTAGGCCAGGCCTCCAGTAGGGGGCGCACAAGAGGCAAAGACACACTGAAGCTTCTCTCCCTCTCTCCCTACCCTCCCCTCTCTCTAAAAACAAACAAATTAATAAATAAAATCTTTTTTTAAAAAGGCACTCCCTCTTCCAACATTTAAAAATACTGCTTAAAATAATTGGTTCAAGTTCTTGAATAAGTCTCAGGGCAGGAAATAAAGGAGTTTAGAATCCACCGAAAAAGAATAAAAGGATTCTGAGTCACATGGTAAAACCATAAAGAACAGCCCCATCATCCTGAGAGTGTCTGTGGCTGTAGCTGTTTAATAACCATCCACAGGCAAGGCACCATCTGGCATCTTCCGAATATTGTCCCCTAATAACAAATTTCACTGGCCCCCACAAGAGGCACTCTGGAAGATGAGGGGAAGTTAACGAACACCATTCCTGTGTGCCTCTAATTACACAACGGCCATGCCCAGCCTCCCTCCCTCCCACCAGCCAAATCGGCTCGGTGACCATTGTCCCCGTGCAGGACGGGCTCACGTCGTGAGACACGGTTTCATTAGAGATTCGTAACAAGGTCCCAGGGGCCCAGTCATGGCATTGAGCCTATGACTGGCATTTCATTAAGGTCATAAAAAATTATACTGGGCCACAGAGAATGGAAAGCTAGAAAATGTAAATGAAAACTGTCTCATGCTCCTAAAATGTGTCTCCTTTCATGACTTCATTTATCCATCACTCAAAGGATAAAGACAACTGTGTGCCAGATTGTTTTCCCAAACATCTCATTTAATTCCCCCAGCCCTGCAAGCCGAAATGTGTCTTTCCTTCGGAGGAGTTACCTGAGCCTGAAAGAGGTGAAATAACTTGGCGAGATGTAACCCAAGGCCGCTGCCCCAAACCCCCACCACAGACTTTTTACTCAACCATGCTGTTCACATTTGCTTCTGCGCTGGAAGCAGGAGGTCATCGGAGAGAATAATCACTTTCACAGGACAAGGAGAAGCAGCTCTCCTCATTGCCCGTGCAGTGTCTGGCTGCCCTGCTTCGTGCCCAGCTGGCGGTCCTTGGAATGGGTGCCCGGCTGTGGGCATGCAGACCCCATGCTTCTAGGCCGGCGATGGTGGGGCTGCATGCCCCGCACACCGGTGTGTGCGAGAATGTTTAGAACATGCAGTACCCGACTATTTAATCAGGGGCACTGCCCTCTTTTCCCTGAGACTGTCAAATAAAAAAAATGACAACAGCCAACAGGACAATACTAGAGAAATAGGTATAATTTTGATTCATTCAAATTATACCTATTTTTGGCTGATTGGCAAAAGATATATTTTTTGGCATGCTGCAGAATGTCAGCAATTAGTTCGTGTGTGCCATGAGATGATAAAGGCTGACGATCACTTTCTAGACCTTGAGAGAAATGGTCTTTGGTTCTGCAGCTTCCATTCTTGCAACTTTGTCTGTCTGATTGTTTGTTATGACCCTGACCCCCTGCCTCCCAGGCAGAGAACGAGATCCAAACCCCTGAGCTCCGTGTCACCTGGGTTTCATCTCCAGTCATCATCTCCCACGAGCCGTAGTGACCTTTCTCCTGCCGGAAGAACTGCACAGCTTCTAAAAAGGCCTGGGCTTCAAACGTGGTCTGCTTCATGTAATCTAAAAGAAAGAGGCAAGGGCATTTAGCAAAGAAAAACACTTTATTTTACATGTGTCTGTGGTTCTTCACACGTACTGGTTCAGAAACCTAGCATTACCTGATTGTTACAAGGAGCAGAATTACGAGACAGAAAGATTAAGTGGATACTGAATTCAGAGTTCGTTTGCAGGTGTACACATCATGCCACTTGCTCACCGTACTAGCTGATTAAGCCTAGCAGTTACTGGGCGTACTTGCTAGGACTACAGGCGGATCCGTCCCTCTTTCTCTCTTTCATAATTGCTTCCCTGTCTCAGGCACCTGGTGGCCTTACACGATCCACTGCAACCCCTCACACTGAGGCCAGCCCTTCCTCAATGAGGCCTCGTGTACCCATGGTCTCCATTCCTTCCCAGTTCCCTGAACAAAACTCCAGTTTCTCTGTGACATGACATCAGCTCACTGTCTAAAGGACATGCATACCATATGCTGATTTATGCAAACACAGAGTGATCATTGCAAACATGTACAGAGCAGGCTGTTGTTCTTTTAAGCTCATCACGTATTTCATTGCAGCCTCACAAAAACCTCTGAGAAGTTACCATCCCTGTTTTACAGATGATGAGACCCAAAACACAGAGAGATGAGTTAATTGCCCAAGGTCATAAGACTAGTAAGGATGTGAATTTGGGTGGTCTGATGCACAGCCTGCTTCTAACAACCACACTCTACTACCACACATATGAACTGTATGGGTCCACCCCAGCAAGCATAGTGGGTTTTGAAAGGTGTCATATCTGAGAGGTAATATCCCACCACAAAGAAATTAATATCTAATGATAGGATTTTAATTGTGGCTGAATGGTCATCCCAGAATTCCACAAGTCACAATGCGCATGCAAATGTCCTCATTTCTGCTATGGATTGAGTGTTTTTGTCCCCCCAGATTCACATGTTGAAACCTTAATCCTCAGCGTGATGGCATCTGGAGATGGAGCGAAAGGCAGGTAGCTAGTAGCTAGGTTATGATGGCGGAGCCCAGGTCAGTGCCCTCACACAAGGAAACGTGGTGTCTCTCTCCCCCTCCCTTCCCTCTGCCCCTCTCTCCCTCCAAACACTGGATTTACCAGTGCCTCCATCTTGGACCTCCGAGACGATGGCATTTTTGTTACCACAGTCCAAACTGACCAAGACAATTTTCAACACGAAAAACTAGCTCTTGGAGGGTACAGTGATAACAGAATTATACATATCTTAGCAGAAAATGAATTATGATAACAATACCATCTAACAACAAAGAAATCAAATTGCAGAAAGGGGAAACAAAGTGGGCAGAGTTAAGTGATTCCAAGCCGCGTCTTGCACCCCCTGCTGCTGCCCATGTAGGGCACACAGTTCTCTGGCCAGTCGCCCGGGATCTGCATTTCTACGGCAATCTTCGCTTTGTCAGCTGATTCACTGGGCACCTTCGAGCTTGAGACAGTCAGGGGTTCAATGGCTCATGTGGGGACTGAGCAGAGCTAAATAAGGGTCAATGTGCTCTGAAATGTGACAATTAATAGGCTGTGGTTGACTCTTCTGAGATTGGTATATTAGGTCACGGGAAAGAGAAAACAAAATTCAAGGCATCGCCTCTGTGAGAGCCCAAGCAGAATTCTCCACAGTGAGGCTACCGAGAAGCCTAGAAGCTCCGTCTTCAAAAACGTGGAGCAGTAACTGATATTTCTAGTAACACCATAGAGATGTGGTCAGAATCTAAATCAGAGTTTTCAAAGCATGTCCCAAGACTCAAGTTTTTAAGTCGAAGCATTTTTTTCCTTGTTATTTTTTTTTCTGGTTTGGCAATTGATTTAGTCTTTAATCTTAGAGCCTTGGAAAACAAAAATTAAGGTCTTCATATAAAATTGACAGTAAGTGAGCTCACAACATTGGGAGGGGCTTTGCCCACCGAGCTGGAAACTGTAATGATCACATTGAAGTTCAAGATTGACTCATGTGCTCTTATTCTTACCAGCTGTCTTCATTCCCGACCTCGGGAAATGGAGAGGTGGAGTAAAATGTGGCAGTTGGATGGGGTGAGTGGTGCCAGACCCTCGAGAGAGCCTGGGAATGAAGTGTGAAATTCTTCCGTCCTTACAAGAAGCATAAGTGTACTTAGTTCTTCCCCCATTGATCTCAGTAACTGGAGGAGGTACTTGAAATCCTGTACATACTTTTTATTTCTATAGCAAAACAAATGATGACACTCCCATTGCAGGTTGCATCACTGGAAGTCGCTGGGAAAAAAATAACTGAAGGAAAGAGATTTGAGACGACGAGGTGTGAGTCAGAGTGTTGTCAAAGAAGACACAGAAGTGATGGAAGGGAGTCGTGCGGGAGGGCAGGGCACCTTCACAGAGCCGGAGAAAAGTATGGGTGATCAAATGGACCCCAGAAGAAATGACAGTAGTTGAACAGCAGCAGTAATGGCTGAAAGAATGAGGGTGTGGATCTGAATTCTGGACTCCTTACCGTTAAGACAGACATTAATGGATTTTAACTAATCCTTTTCCAGAGGGGAAGAAGGATCTAATCTACTGATTCATCATTCGATTTTTCATCTTATAAACAAATTAAATTAATTTATATAAAACTTTAAGAACACTGTCTGCCACATAGTAAGTTGCCTTATGGACACTGGTTTTTATGATTATAAACACCGTTCAGCAGCAACAGCTAGATTATTGAGGACATAAAGAACAAAGCCTTGCTTTGCAAAATGCACAACTATGTTGCAATGGTAACATGATCTCCATTTCTTCTGAGTTGTTTGCAAAGGCATTGCTGAACTCAGCCAAAAAGCACAGGTGTTTGAGAGGAAGCAGATTACCAGTCATTCGATCAACTTCCTGCCTCAGGTCTCGTGGGAGCAGGTTCTAGCTAGGGTCACAATCACCCAGTCTCCTGCCAACAAACAATTGAGACTTCGGTTCAATGGCCCCAGAATCAACAATGGTGTTTGTTCTTTAAAAGCCTTCTCCCTGCAAGCAGACCTAGGAAGAAATGCCAGGTATCAGCTCAGAGTCTCCTTTCCAAACGTGCTGTCGTGCTGTCGTTGTGAGGATGCTTCGGGAGACAGACGTGCTGGGGAGAACTCGGACGTCATTACTAAATCCAGCTCCCTTGTTTTACGGTTGGGGAAACTGGAAGAAGAAATGGTTCATTTCTCAGCTGAAGGTCACACAGCTGGTCAGAATCAGAGCCAAGAGTTGAAAAAGTGGCTCTGGCATGTCATAAGTGACCTTGGCATTCATGCTTACTTCAATCATAAACTATGGGAATTAGAAGTAATCTTCAAGATCACCGACCCCAAGCTCTCCTTCAACGCCGAGGGCCTTCGGAACCCCAGACAGACCCTTGTCCGGCCTTAGCTGGAGTATTTCCAGGGATGAGGACCTCACAATTTAATGAAGTGGTCCTTTTAGTCACTGGACAGCTCCAATTATTTGAAAATTTTTCCTTCTATGGAGCCAAAATCTGTTTCCATGAACTCTCTCTGATTAATCCCATTTCCGTCTTTCAGAGCAAAATAGACGTTTATTTCTCTTCCATATGGTAACTGCAGAAGATAGCTAAATAGCCTTATTTTCCTTCAGCCATTCTTTAAAGAGTGGAGTTTTTGGAGTTTTTGAACGTGGTCCTTTTTTTTCCTTTCTTCCTTTAGTGACCAATGCCAATGTGTCAATATCTTTCTTAAACTTGGCCCCTAGCCTGAGTATAGCACTCTGAGTATTGTCTAACTAGTGCAAATTACATAAGGTAGAAAGATTATTTTCTTTTTCCAGGTCCCTAACCTCTTTTTTTTTTACAGCCACCTCACACCGTTGACTCATACCTTTCTGTAGCCAAATAAAACCCCTATACCTTTTCTCATGTAAAACCCTTCTTCATCTAAGCCTTTCCTGACTTGAACTTGGCTTTGGATTTTGAGGGGCAGGTTCAGACATTCCCCCTAGTAAATTACAACTTACTGTGATCAGCTGAGTGCCCCAGAACCTGCCAAAAACATTTAAAAAGGATAATTCTGTCCCCGAACCCCCTTTCGCCTCGGTGTCATTAAAAATGTCGGCGAGGCTGCCCTTGGGGTTCCTCCCCCCTCTGACCGCTGCAAACGTTCGTCAGGTCAAGGGCAGCGACAGAGCCCTGGGAAAGTCTAAACGTTTCGGGAAACGTGTGGGAGACACATCTCGGCCATTCCTTCAGCGGCCACATCCTGAGGACCAAGGCACGGCTCTTCTCTGCCATCTCTCCCTCCCTCTCATCTGTGCAGCTGCCTGGAAAACTCATATTCAGGACATGTGATTACGGATTTTTCGAGGGAAGGAAAGCTGTTCCAGGCCCCTTGGGGACAGTCAGGCAGGGGATCAGCCAGAGAGAAATCACTTTTGTTTTTTCCACTCACGCAGATTCATAGCACGTCTGAGGCCAACGCAACCCCAAAGCTCCGAGGCCCGTGTGGTTACTCCAGATTCGACTCTGGCTGCTCGGCCGGGACTCCCTGGCTGGGGCTGGGCTTGGAAGCCGCCTGGTTTCATCGGTCAGCTGCGCCAAACCCTGTTAGCTGATCCGCCTGGCGATTTGCAAGCGTTATGTAACAGCATTACTCACTGCACGGCTATGAGGTTCAGCGTCCTAATGTTTGCTTCTAAACTGCCTTTAGCTTCAGGCCATGTGTCTCTGCTAGGAGAGCTGGAGCAAGCCTGTCTGCCCTGGTTTCTTCCCTAAGACAAAGACCAAGAAGCACAGGGGAGCGTAACCAACGTGTACTGGAGGCCATCATGGAGTAGGAACCACGTGAGATGTCTACACACACTGTTGTCTCACATAATCCTTCCGACAATCCCATCAGGCAGGAATTCATCCCCCACTTAGAGCAAAGCAACTGAGTTTCAGAAAGGCTCATTACTTCCAGAGTCCTGTTATGACACGCTATGGCTTGATTTTTAAGAGCTTTTTATCTTGAGAAAACTGTAGCTTCACA